TTTATGTTGAACTGGATTCTTAGCCATGTTGAGTGCACTAGTGTGTTCACATAGAAGGGGCACACTCTCAGTGAGTACCCCAAAATCCTCTAGTTGCTGCTTGATCCATAGAAGTTGAGCATAGCAGGATGTTGTAGCTACATATTTTGCTTCAGCTGTTGAAAGAGCCACTAAATTTTGCTTCCTTGTACCCCAAGAGATAAGACATGATCCTAGGAAGTGAGCCATTCCAGAAGTGTTTTTTCTGTCCATAAGATAACCTGCATAGTCTGCATCAGCATACCCAATCAGATTAAAACTATCACTTGATGGATAATATAGCACAAGGTCCTGCGTTCCTTTGAGATATCTCAGTATTCTTTTGGCAGCCTTCAAGTGAGATTACTTGGGATTTGATTGAAACCTCGCACACAACCCCACGCTGAAAACAATATCAGGTCGACTGGTAGTGAGATAGAGGAGAGACCCAATGATGCCTCTATACATTGTTTGATTCACAGGAGATTCAGTTTCATCCATGTCCGGTCAAGTGGTAGTTGCAATGGGAGTGTCTATCACCTTTGATGCTTCCATGTCAAACCTCTTCAAAAATTCCCTAATATATTTTTGCTGACAAATAGAAGTACTCTTTGGGGACTGTTTTACTTGAAGACCCAAGAAGAAGTTTAATTCTCCCATCATGCTCATTTCAAATTCACTTCCCATAAGTTTTGCAAATTCTTCACATAGAGAGTCAGTTGTTGCTCCAAAAATGATATCATCAACATAAACCTAAACAATGAGCAGGTTCCTTCCTCGTTTATTTAAGAAAAGAGTGTTGTCAATTTTCCCTCTTTTAAAACCATTTTTATGAAGAACTTTGACAGTCGTTCATACCAAGCTCGAGGAGCCTACTTTAGCCCGTACAGAGCTTTGTCCAGTTTGAACACATATTTAGGGTGCTCATGACATTCAAACCCTGGGGGTTGCTTCACATAGACTTCCTCCTTAAGGAATCCATTCAAAAATGCACTTTTGACATCCATTTGGAACAAGGTGAATTCCATATGAGATGTAAAAGTGATTAGAATTCTGATAGCTTCCATGCGAGCCACTGGAGCAAACGTTTCATCATAGTAAATCCCTTCCTCCTGATTATAGCCTTGGACCACTAGCCTGGCCTTGTTGTGAGAAAAGTAACCAAGAAATATTCCTTCATTACTTTTGGCGTCGAACTTACCAAGCTGATCATTTCCATTGTTGAGAATATAGCATTTGCATCCAAATATTCTTAGGTGAGTCAGCTTGGGTTTTCTTCCATTCAACATTTATACGGGGTCTTGTTCAGAAGTGATCTGATCATGCACATGTTCACTAAGTAGCAGGCAGTGTTGACAGCTTCAGCCCAGAAATTCTTTGCAATTCCACTGTCAATCAGCATTGTTCTTGCCATTTCTTCTAGAGTTCTGTTCTTCCTTTCTACTACTCCATTTTGTTGAGGAGTTCTGGGAGCTGAGAAGTTGTGAGTGATGCCATTTTTATAGCAGAATTCATCAAATTTGACATTGTCAAATTCTATCCCATGATCTAATTTAATGCATACAACTCTAGACTCCATCTTCACCTGGATTTTCTTCACAAAGGCCACAAATACTTAAATAGTTCATCTTTTGTTCTGAGAAATAGAGTCCATGTGAATCTGGAATAGTCATCCACGATTACAAAAATGTATCTCTTTCCTCCTCTACTTTGCACCCTCATAGGTTCACATAGATCCATATGCAGGAGCTCAAGCGGCTTTGAGGTGCTCATATCTCTTTTAGACTTAAAGGAGGACTTCACATGTTTTCCTCTAGCACAGGCATCATAGACTTTTTGAATCTTGAATTGTGACATAGGCAGACTATGGACCAGGTCCTTCTGAATTAGTTTGTTTAGAAGGGAAAAGCTTGCATGGCCCAGTCTTCTATGCCATAGTTCAGTATCATCTTCAACCGCCTTCAGACAACACAGATCACTGTTCTGTAAAGATTCAAAATCAGCAACATAGATGTTCTTGTATCTTTTGGCCACTAGTACTATTTCACCGATTATAAGGTTAGTGACTGTACATATTTTGGACAAGAATTCCACCTTGTTTCCTTTATCACTAATTTGAGAAACACTTAGGAGACTGTACTTAAGCCCATTGACATAGTACACATTTTCAATAGAAGAGTGAGTGACTTCCCGACTTTTCCAACTCCAAGAATGTACCCCTTTTTGCCATTGCCAAAGGATACACTCCCTCCTTGCAGGGCTTTTAGTTAAAGAAAGTCTATGGTGTTCCCAGTCATGTGTTTCGAACATCCACTATCCATGAACTATTGTTGTCTGCTTCCTTTCACTGTTCCCTGCACAAGAGATTAGGAGTTAGTTTTAGGAACCCAAACAAGTTTGGGTCCCTTGTAGTAAGCAAGAGGATGAATAAAAGCTCTTTTAGTCCATGCAGGTAATGTGCATTTTTTGTGAGTGGAACCTGGTCCCTCTTTTGAGGTCACGGTTTCAGCAGCCACTTTGTCTTTCTGAACTGATTTATTCTTAGACTGGACACTTTCCTTGAAGCGTCCAGTGTTCCTACATTAGATACGAGTCTAGTTATCAAAGACAATGACACTTTTACTGTGAGGGTTGTAAGGAGTTTTTTCCCTTTAGAACCCTGCTCCCTGCCTTTTTCACTATCATTTAGGAGCAAGGCAGTGGTAGCTTCTGAGGACGAGGTCCACTTTAGAGACCTTTCAAGATCATTCATTACTTTTTCTAGATTGGTTTGGAGGAGCTCGTTTTTCTCAATTTCAGCACGCATCATACATCTGATAGCTTTCACCTCATCTTCAAGCCTAAGGTATTCCTCACTTGCTATCTCCTTTCCTCTTTCAGAACTTTTAGGTTTTGACTTAGTCCATGGTTGTACTATTGTTTCCCTTTGGTCTACAATTTCTGCCAACAAATTACTCTTTTCTTTTCTAAGGATTTCAATGGTTTTTTTGTGGTCAATAACTGCAACCACTAAGTCTTCTATAGTATGTTATGATTCTTCTAGTTCTAAGATCAAGGAATCCCTATCCTCTGCAAGACTACAAAAGGCGATGATTAAAATATCAGCTAAACACATGAGTTTTTTGGAGAATAAGATTTCAGATTTCTCTAAACGTCCCTGAAGTTTACCTCTTTGTTGCCATTGTCTTCATCATCATCTGATTGAGCTGTCAAAGCAAAAGTTGAGTCATATTCACTCTCCTCGCCTTCAACTTCCATCAAGGAACTATCACCAGTATTAGGTTTATCTTTAGACTGTTTTACTTGTGTTGTTCCTTCATGAGCCGTTTGCAAAGCTTCTCATATTTCCTTTGCAGTGTCACAGGTTGAGATTCTATCATACTCTTTAGGTCCCATTCCATATACTAGAATTTTCTTAGCACGAAAATTCTTCTCCACAGCTTTCTTGTCTGCTTCAGTGGATTCTTTGCTGGTTTTTGCCATTGAATATGGAAATTCATCTAGTACCTTAATTGGAACATAAGGACCATCGAAAATGATATCCCATAGCTCACAATACTCAGCCATAATGAAATCGTGCATTCTATCTTTCTACCACCAATAGCATTGTCCATCAAACTTGGGATTCGGTATATGGATTGACCTTCTTCAAATTTTGGTGGAGCCGCCATGAGGATCCTTCCTAAGTGTTATCCTGATAGGAGGAACCTGCTCTGATACCAATTGTTAGTTTGTGTGGGTCCACCAAATCATAAAGTGTCTGGTCCTCTATGAGGTTCTACTGAGAGCACTTAATAAAACGGTAAGTAAATGAGGCAGAGGAGTTTTTTTACGTGGAAAAATCTCACACAAGGGGATCAAAAAATCAGTACCTACACCTCTAAGATTTTAACTTCACTAAATTGTAATCTACCTATTACAAGCCACTTTACAATATTTTCTATTGCAAAGGATTTACTCAACTAACTTGCGGTACCTTTACCACAAGCCACTTTGTGACTATCCTAGTTACAAAGACTTTTTCTAACTTATGAAGCTATCACCACTAGCCACTTTGTAACTATACGATTACAAAGACTTTTCCTTATGACTAAATCTAGTCACAACATAAACTCAACAAGTTTACGAATTTACAAGAGGATTCCTAATCAGAATGCTTCTAGGTAAGCGGTTTAGGAGATACAGTAAGTACAATAACAAGGTTACAACTCAACTAGGACAAAAACAATCTATCTTTTTGGAACTGGTTTGTATTAGCATTCAACCTTGTTCTTCAAGCTTGTGAAGATTGATTTCTCTATTTTTGCAAGAGGCTTGAATGAGAAACAGAACCCTTCTAGTGATGTTTTTGTATAAAGCTCATTGGGTACTTCTTGATCACATCACTTGAAATGATGTGAGTACTTTATTTGGTTAGAGAATGAGTGGGCTGACAGTGTAGTGCAGTGCGGCAGAAATAGTGTCGTCGGTCACTTCATTTCCAGCTATGTCCAATTGACTTTGTACTGCTATGAGGAAACCACAAGAGTATCAGGTCCTTGTGTTGGTTCTTAGCTCCTGAAGCTGTAGCAGTTCACCTTTAGCTGGAATTCGTTAAAGCTTGCAGCAATCCAAGTAGGTCAGGTTCCTTATCTGGTTCTTAACAGTAAGTTGAAAAAGTATATAGACTTTGAAGAAAGACGAAGAAATTACAGTTGCAAGAAAATCAAAATGAAAATCTAGATGACGCACTACAAAAAACTGGAATTATTGCGGCGGTTAAATAACGGTGGTTCAATAAAACCGCCGCAATATATATCATAATACGGCAGCGTTCTAGATGCCATTAGTGCGTAATATAAAATCGGTATTTTTTTAACAATTACGGCGGTTCTAAACCGCCGCTAGTTAGACAAAAATTTTAATAATTCTTTTCCGCTAATATTTAATGTTATTATTCCGTAAAACTCCTAAAGCCCTAAACATTTTTTGATCACTATAGTGTAATGTAATCCATTCAAACACCTAAAGTCCTAAACAGAGTAAATATCATTCAAACATCTAAATCCCCAAAACAGTGATTCCCCAAATCACTGTAAACCTTCTCTCTCTCTACACCTTCTCTCTCGTTCTCTCTAAACAGTGATTCCCCTAAATTACTGTAATGTAAGACATTTATATCCGTTAATGATTCTCCCAAATCCTTTAACTTTTATTTAAGGAGATCAGATAATAACTTGTTTAAGGTAATGTGTTTGAATTCGTCTATAAATAACCCTTTTTTTATAAGTACTCGCTTACGTCTCCGGTTTCAAGTCGTTCGTGTAATTACTTCCAAAATATCGTTGATTTCACTAATTTAAGGCATGCATGTGTGTGTATTGGATGGATATCAGCTTGAACCACTGATTTTAGCCGTGAATTTCACTGATTTAGGTTTTGATTTTGCTGTTTTAGCCATTGATTTTATGCGTGCATGTGTGTGTATTGGACGAAGATCAGTTTAAATCACTGATTTTAGCTGTCGATTCACTGCTTAAGCCATCAATTTCACCGTTTGGCAATCAATTTTATTGATTCGGCCGTCGATTTCACTGTTTAGCTGTCAATTTCTACTAATAGTTTTATTTTATTTTTCGTTTATTTTTGTGTCAAGTTTTGTTACTTTTCTGTTCAATTAAGTTTGTGTTTGTTTAAATTTTGACATTTTTAGTTTTTGTTATGCTAATATCAACCTAAATATCATTTATGGCCTTGATAGGTAGCCAAGGAATCTAAAACAACTGGTAAAGCTATTGGGATCGACATCGATAAAGTTGTATTTGATAGATATAGCTCTTGTCAGTTAACTTTATCCTTTCTTTTGAGCTGCTTTCTTTTTTAAAGGTAAATTGATTCTCTCTTAATGTTGAGTTACCTACTATCAGTGTAAATTTGTCACTAGATAAATACAACTAGCACTTATGCAGTTATGTAGAGAGAAAGAAATAGGACAAATACTCTTTGACTAATCTCTGTGGTGAAACAAGTACTGAAATAATTCAGCAGCTGTAGAGTCTCAATATTGTAATCAGCTGTAGAGTCTCAAATCTTGTACCTCTGTACATCTCCAAATCTGGAATGATGTGTATTCTTTAATTGTTAACTTGTTCTTCTCTAAATATTGTACTGAAGTCCATGCTTGTCGAAGTACAGTGCATCTTTTTCTTTTCCTTATTTTTTCCTAGTGTGTTAAGATGCCAAATAATGGCAAATGAATTGAAAAATAGAAGGTTTTTATCAAATTAGTTTTGCTACGAAATGTTAGGACACTGTGAAGGAAATAAATATAGCAACCAGTACATAACTAAAGCGTGCATGTTATCCCACCAGAAACAAGAAGAGGTATTCGTCACTTGTCATTTTCCAAAGTATATATTGCTCCGTTTCCTCAATTTGGATTGGTGTTGCCCAAATATGAGAATTCTCCTAATGCTAAAGTTCTTCTTGTGTATATCTATGAGATAGTTGATACTTTGTATGTGTGTGTCACTGAATTTCACTTAGAAAAGCATGCCCATACAAATTTTGTTTCTACCTTGTTTGATCAACTTGAGAGTTGATAAGGATTCACTTATAGGATCAACTCTTCGATTAATATTTTAATATGATCTTTATTTTGTTGCAGATGAACATCAAGTGATAAAATCTATTAGGTTGAAAGTTCAGGATATCCATAACTTGGAGAATGAATCGCGCATAATTATAGAATGTGATGAGTTTGCTCAACCTATTGGAAAATCAGCCTGCATTCTTGCAGGATTTTGGGGGGGACTTGCTACAATCCTCGCTACTTTCTAATTGGCTTTGAGAGTTGGGAATTAATGCCTAAACCTTTTGTGCACCGTGTTGTTAATGATTTTGTATTGGTAATGCCTTTTAATTCTTTTGCTTAGTTTGTGTGTTATAGTTGTTTTACTTAGATTTTTGTCGGAAAGAGTTGTTGTGTTGTTGATTGGAAATTCTGTCAACAGTAAACTAACATATATTATTTTTGTCAAGTCTCGATTTTTCTTTAGGAGTGATCATCAAAAGGTAAAAGGTTGGCTTAACAATTCGCTTAACAAAAAGTGGAAGGAATTCAGGCTTAAACTATGGCATGAGGCCGAGGATCCATTATTGAGCAAAGAAGATATCATTAAGAATGCTCCAGAAGGCATTCCCATGGACCAATGGGCATTGTATGTTAACTACCGGTTCAAAGGGGAAACAAAGGTTTGTATTCTTCTTCTTCTTCTTATTTCACTACTTGTCTTTGTTGCTTCTTCTCTGCCACTACTGTGGCTTCTTCTTTTATTGCTTGTCTCTGCTGCTTCTTCTCTGCCACTGCTGTGGCTTCTCTTCTTTTCCCTTCTTCTTCTTCTTCTTCTTCTTTCTCTTCTTCCTCTGCTTTGTTTCACGCAAGTTTATGCTAAAATAATACAAGTGTACCACTTAATGGTAAAATCCATATGGGGATTTTGATTTTGAATCAGTCAACAAAGTTCCCTTTCACATTCTGCTGGATTATAAGTCATAAAATAAGAGGTTCTAGCTGTTGAACATGTGCTCAGAAATAAAGCAAGAAGAATACATCCTTTCTCTGTGTAGTTTTTGTAACCAGAAAGATGGAAGAGGAAAGTGTGCATAGTGTCAGTATGTATCTTTGATTTCAGAAGCTCTTATATATATTCAAGAATGGAATTACTAGTTTTAGAATCTAGTTGGGCAACTATTATGTGATAACTTTCTCTTCTTACCCATCATTCAAGATATTGTGCGAATATTTATGAATTAAAACTTAAAATAAAGTAAAAGTAATCTACTCTGTTAAGTTGTTTCCTAGATAATCGAAGACAAAGGTATTCAAAATCTGGAGGAACTGTATGGGAAATGTGAATAAGTAAGAAGCTAGACTGACTTGCTCTTAGATAAGGAATAGTACCAGAATCTCAAATTGATTTCTAGATAATGTTTGTTGTAAAAATGGGCACTGAAATTTGAAGATTGACAAAGGATAGGAGTTGATTTCTTTGTCAATAATTTGGCTGCATAACTAGTGGGATAAAATCATGAAATAGACAGATTACCTGAATAGAAGTAAGAAGTTTAATGCTATGCCAATGAATTATTAGAAAACCTCACAGTATGTCTAGTTAGGGTCTAATTGACACACAATATATTAAACTGCATTACCTATCCTTTATTCTTGGTTACTACTACTTAATAAATGCGTATTATATAGACCTACAAGTGTCTTTTAAGTGGACAGATTATATAAATATTTTTACATGAACTTTAAGTCCATAGAACTTAACATCTATACTATTTCTTTTGTCGTTTGTTATATGTAACAGAAATTCTCCTATTTTGACTCGTGGGCGCTTTGCTTGAGAAATCAACGGATTCGAGGACAACTAACACTTCCTCATACTAGTGGTGCTATGAGTCTGGCTAGAAGAAGGGATTTGATGGTAGTTTAATATGACATACTTACCGATACGTTCTGTGTATTAATATATTCTTAATTAACTAAGTTTACTTTTTTTAAATTTCAGAAGAAAATGGGAAAAGAAGTTGATCGAGGCAAAGTGTGGACCGAGACTCATAAGAGGAAAGATGGGAGTTATGTAAATGATCAAGCTAGGGAGATTGGGATAAATGTTATTTATGAAATCTAAAATCATAATACTAATTCTCAAATTCAAAAATGTGCTTAATAAAACCTACTCCTTCCGTTTCAATTTATGTGAACTCATATGACTGGGCACGGAGTTTAAGGAAAGAGAGAAGACTTTTGATCTTGTGGTCTAAAATGAGGCACATATATTATGTGTGGCTATAAATCTTTGTGTAAAGGTAAATTGTTTCCAAATAAGGAAACGGGTCATTCTTTTTGGCACAGACTAAAAAAGAAATAGGTTCACATAAATTGAAACGGAGGGAGTATTATCTTCTGCATAATTCCACCTTTCGACTTTTCTCTGCTACTTTTGGCTTAACACCACTTGAGGTTTCTTTATTTTTCCTTTTCTTCTTCTTAGCTGGTTCCTTTGGTTTGATCTCCACCTGATTTGGACTTGAAATACTAAACCATTTGAGCACTGTTTAATGTTTTATAGATTACTTTGAATGGTCTGCTTCTGAACATACTTGGAGCTCTGTTTAATATTTTATAGATTCTCCTTTTGTAATTTATATTTTGTCCCTCGTGTGGGAAAGAATTGAAGAAATTCGAAGACAAAGGCCAGAAAATCTGGCAGAAATTTCACTGAATGATGCGCTTGGTGTAGTCTTCGGTCCCGAGCACCCTGGCCATGTTCAAGGCTTAGGCATGGGTGCAGTTCCAACTGTAGTATTCAAGCAAACATCATGCCGAGGTGGTTGTTTTTATATGAGCTCATCTAGCGCTAGTGCTCCACCTCCGCAATGGGTGCAAGAGATGACAAATATGAGATCACAATTAAATGCACTAACTAGCTTATTTCAAATGACAATTGAAAATATCCCGGAGGAGTTTGCTCACTTATTTCCGACTCCTGCACAGGTACAAGTGCTTATTTTTTCTTTGTTTGCCCATTCAATTTGACAATATGTTTAAAGTTAGCTTTGATTTGCAGAAATAACAATAGGTCATGTTATATTTGCAGAAAAAATAGTGGAATTTTGTTTTTGTGAAGTATAGAGCTATGCTCTGTAGGTATGAAGTAGGAAACCATTTAACGACAAAAGGTTAATGCAGAAATCATGTTATATGTCCAGTAACTGTAGTTTTCAAAAAAAACTTTCTCCGCGACTTGATACATATATCTCACCAAAAGAAGAAGAGTATGAAAAGGAAGCATTGTACTATAAGGTACCTAAGCTCACATCTACACTGAATTGATCTGGAAATTATGTATCTAAACGCGGAAATATTAGTTCATGCATTAACTAAAGGATTTGAAATGAACTAATTCAGGAGGGGTGACTCAAACACCCCTCCTCCTATTAAGAGGCACTGAAGTTCCGCGTTCACTTTCATAGTTTTCTTTAAGAATTTGAACAGAAAACAAATTTGCAGAGAGAAAATAAATCAAGAAAATGGGTACTGAGGAGTCCAAGAAACGCCCACTTGTCTTTGCTTACTATGTAACTGGTCATGGTTTTGGCCATGCCACTCGAGTTGTTGAGGTCCCTTTATCTTTCTCTTTTTTTAAAATCTCTATTTAGTCTAAAAATGCAATCTTTAGAATATTTTTCTGTTTGTTTTGGTGGGTGACTCTTTGTTTCTCTAATATTTGATCACTTGGGTTCTTCTTGATCTTGTTGCTTCATCTGATCATGGATTTTTCTTGAATTGGAGTTGCATGTGATTTCATTACTTTGATTATGTACTTAGTTGCTGAGATAGGAAGGTGAACCAGAAAAGAACCGGTCTTGATTGATTACTTTCATTTGACTTTTTGTTGGAAGTGTTAGCTAGAACCAAAACATATGTAGTATAGTTTAGGTTTTAATTTCAATTGGCTTATTAGATAAGTTTGCAAGGTATTTCCTCTGCCCCAATTTATATGTAACGAGGCACGAAGTTTAAAAAAGAAAAGATTTTTGAAACTTGACATTTGTAACTGTGATATTGCAGGGGTAGAATCTGTTACGACAGACCTTGTAAGAGCATCGTAACCTTGATGTTTATTTGTTTTTCCTTCTTGTCCCCATATGTAATGGCGCAAGGGGTGGGGCGTGTGAATTTGTTTGCATTATTTTCCTTATTTTGCCGAATGAAACAGTATATTTTTCTCTGGATTTCAAGTTTAACACCGAATTTTAGATGACTAGAAGTAAATATTTTGAAAAGCTGGCCAATTTCTCATAATAATGATTCATAAATAGCAAATTTGTATTACTTTTGCTCGTTATTTGTGGGGGTTATACTTTTTATCTGTATTTGCAAAATACTGGCATGATATGAGTTTTTCACTACTAATTAGTTTTTTTATGCAGGCACCCAATTTAGGAGATGGCGTTCCGTCACCAACTAGGCCAAGAAGATCCTTTGATGAAAGCGGAGCAAATGACAATTAGTAATCATTGTTAGGATGAACTTAGTTTTTCTTGTGTTGTAATTGTTAGGATGAACTATGTTTTTTGTGTGTTGTAATTGGTGAATAACTCGCACCAACTTAAACTTGAATCTTGGATGATATGGGATTTTGGGTACCTATGTTTTAATATGATGAATATTTTGCTTATCTAATTCTCTATAATTTATGTTAATTACTATGATGGGTGCTTGATTACATATTATGATGGATTTTGTGCAGTAAAAAGCATCTAAATGTAGAATTCAAAAATTAACAATAAATATATTACAATTATGGCAGTATAAACTGTTATAATTTGAAAGACTTCAATTATGGCAGTTCCTAAGCGCCACAATCAGTAGTCAATCTTAACTATGCATATTGCGGCGGTTTTATCTGTATATTGCGGCGGTTCTAAAGAAACCGCTATATTAAACCTTTTGGCGGAAGCGATTATGGCGGGTGATTAAGCCGCCATTAATGACAATTACAATGGTTTTTAACCGTCACTATACGCAAATTTAACCGCCGCAATTACTCCCGTTTTTTGTAGTGTACGGTTGGCGTAGTCATAGCGAAGTAGTGCTAGATTTTTTATGGATTCCATATTTATTATTTATGCGTCTTTTTCTAACATTGCCTATCAAAGACATTGAAAAAGATGCTACAGAAAAAGTAGGTCTTTATAGGAGAAAGAATTTAGAAATAATGGTACGTCGTATACTTTTAAGACTTGCAAACCAACTCTCTTGCTAGCTGTACCCTAGTTACTACATTAAATATTCTATCTCCTTCTGTCTAGAGGCGTATGTAGCCAGGGGCGGATCTACATATAAAAATTGGGTGCTGGAGCACCCATTAATCTCGACCCCGAATACGTATAATTATATAGAGAATTTAATAAAAGGGATATAATAAAATAGCAAGCACCCAGATAACAAAAGACTTGGTGGGTGCTTTGGTTATGATGGGTGTTGAAGGGCTCTAAAAGCCTATGGTCGAGAGATCGAATTTCACGCTCCTAGCTAGACTTTTTCCTCCATTCATCAAGCACTAACTTTCTTTTGCTCCAATTATCAGGTCTCTATTTTGCTCTTTAAGTTTTCTCTGGCGACTTTTGTTTATCAAATACTACTACTTTTATTCTTTTGGTTCTAACTTTCTTTTACCTTTTTTTTTTTAACTTTCTTTTGTTACTTTATCTAATTCATCATAGCAAAGAAAGAAAAGAATATGAGCTTTTAAAAACTAAGGATTCCTCCAGAACCGTAAATTGTATTACTCATCACATATTTAGGGCGTCGTTCATATAGGTACTATAGTTTTCTCATTAATTTTTTTATCTCCATATTTAAATAGTTGCATACTTATACGATGTATTAGTAGTAATTTTACGTCAAAAAAAGTTAAGCACTCATGAACTCAAAATTCTGTATCCGCCACTGTATGTAGCGTGTACGTGATGGTTCAACTGAACTCATAACCTTTAATGTTTAGTATAAATTTATGTGTAAATCTACTAAAATTACAATAAATAGTAGATTTGAACTCATAATTAAGTTGTGTCCTTCTCTATTGCTTCTGTCCTTCAAATTGCAATAAATCCGAATCCGCCTCTATTGCTTCTGTCCTTCAAATTAATTAAGTTGTGCATGTAAAGTGAATGTCACGCAACATTAGTCCATTGCACACTGTTGAGTAACATCTCTTTTATTATTCAAAGAATTGAACATGTTAGGCAACAGATTTACTCGTACGTAGCCATTAAATTTGATATGAAACTTCATCTATGTAATTGAGTTATACTTGTGAATTCACTGAACATGGCATGGAATAGAGTCTAATACATGCATGTGTCAGTACGAGAATCTATACCTTAGACCTTATTAAAGATTTCGAAAGAAGGAGAAACTTGTTATTTTGGTTGTTTCATTTAGGGATTATCTGTATAGGTCTAAATTTGGTAATCACGGTAACGAATAAGCAAGACATAGGATGGGGTCGACAACGAGACAGCGACTGACGATCGTCGTGATAAAGGCCGACGACTAGAAGCGGGCAGCTGAGATAAGATAATAACGGTAACTTAAACTTAGAAAGAGACAGGAAGAATATTCCTTTAGATATTTTTTATGTTGTACTTTTTAGGGCTTATAAATAGGAGAAGATAGTAAACAATGAGGGGATCTACCTTTTTAAGAACTGAAACACATTGTAAAGTGAAAAAAAGAATATACGAAAGAGTTGCCTTATTCACTTTATTCAAGCACATGTTGTTTAACCTTCATCCATAAATCTCAAGATTCCACATTTATTTCAAGTGCTTATCTTTTTACGTCGTGAGAGACAGGAAGCACTCAATCACACAATCATTGGGTGACAGTTCCTTCACTCTACAACCCTTGTCATTTCTTACATTTATTGCATATTTATGATATTACATATTTTGTCAATCATAACACATTAAGTTCACTCATTAATGCTCCTAAACTCTTCTCGCTATACAAGAATTTTGTTCTATTTGGTCTGCAATTTATTAAGCTCAACTGAGATTCACCCCATTAATTTATTACTAATTAGTTTAGCATTTATCTCCTCAAATAATTTGGCGCCGTCTGTAGAAAATTTTTATTTGAAACTATAGTTCTTTCTAGATCTAAAAAACCATTTCTTCCACGTTTTGCAAAAACTAACGATGGCAGGAAAAGGAGATGCGAGACTGAAGGCGATAGCAA